TGATGTACATATACATGTAGGAGTGGTAAGGTGAAGAGAGAAGTTCATGCACTTTCTGTATTGTATCACCCTGGAATTGTTAGATACTACAATTCTTTCATTGATTGTGCTCCTGTTGGGTGGGATGATGACAATGCAATGGATGAGCCTTCAACTTCTTTGTAAGAAGGAAAGATAATTTTGTAATGTTTATTACTTACTTTTAGTGGTCAAAGTAACTTATCATCAGTGCAATCTGCCCGGACATTATCTCCTGTTGGTGCTAGCATTAACACTAGTGGTACTGAGTCTTCTTCAATAGAGTTTAGAGATGACAGGTTTGTTTTTTCATCTAAAACTTGATCTATGTTAAGGAGTTTAATAATAGTTCACAAAAGAATAGGTCACAGGAGAAAGGCATTCCTACACATACCAAAGTAACTGATGAAACACTGACAGATGATGCGACAGATGATACAACACCCTGTAAGCTCAATTCACTTTTTTGTTTTTAATTAGTAAATAATAGATTCCTCCTTATCTGGCTATCAGAAATACCTGTTTATTCAAATGGAATTATGCCAGAGAGAAACATTAAGGGATTGGCTGAGTAAAAATGTTCGCAATCGTTATCGAATCAAAGTGTTTAATTATTTTGAACAGGTCTGTTTTTATTATAAAAGTCTAAAATGATGTATTAATTTGTTTTAGATTCTTGATGCAGTGATATACATGCATGACAAAGATTACATACATCGTGACTTAAAGGTACATGTATCTATTGTTATTAATTTTTACTGAGGTGAGCCTGAGCAAGCTTTACTCAGATGACACTCCAGGGACCAGGGTTTCTCACAGGATTTTGGTTTAGTGCTCAACTGCACATGCAGCTGAGCTATTGAAATAAAATGGCAACTATTAAATGGTAGCAGCTGTTGAGCTTACTGGCAGCAAAATAGCAACTTTGATTTGTTGCCCAAAATCAGCAAGGAAAGCAGATATCAACCATGCACATGTGTAATGCTTTATACTTGCTTAGGCTTGCCCTTTAATGTACCGTATACTGGGAAATTTTCGAGTAGCCAAATTTTCGCGAATTTTGCGTTTTTTGCTCTGTCGCGAAAATTAAAATCGCGAAATTCTAAATTTCCATTGCCACGTGGTGGAGTTTACAGGCTATTCGCGAAAATATTATTTCGTGAAATCTTACAAATGCAAAATTCGCGAAAATTTAGCGACGCGAAAATATCCCAGTATACGGTATTACATTTATCTATTTCCAATTTTCTTTATTTATTAGCCATCAAATATATTATTTGCTATGAATGACAGCATTAAAGTTGGTGATTTTGGCTTGGTGAAACAAAATGCAGCTACTAAGCACAGTGCTCCCCAAACTGGTACATGTACATGTATATAGTGCTGTGCTTCATCATTTTCATTTCATAATAGATGTTCAGGGTAGTCATACTAGTGAGATCGGAACTTCGTTTTATGTTAGCCCTGAGCAGGAAGCTGGTCATCGGTATAATGAAAGGGCTGACGTTTATTCGCTTGGAATAATTTTATTTGAACTTTACTTTCCTTTTAGCACAGTAATGGAAAGGGCTAAAGTAAGTATGGGGTATATGAATTGGCCGGAGGTTCACATATTATTGTTATATGTAGGTGTTAGGAGATGTAAAGAGTAATAGAAGACTTCCAAAGGAATTTAAAGAAAATCTTCATAATGAAGTAAAACAGCATGATAGAATACCGTATAGCGGGAAATTTTGGAGGGAATTAAATTTGCTGAATTTGGCATTTTGGTAGCCATTCACCAAAATAAAGGCTGCCATTTTGAGCCATTATATGCATGCTCAATGGCACGTGGCCACTAATTTGCGAAATTAAAATTTGTCAATTACCAATATTTAGCAATTTGCCAAATTTAACTCCCTCTAAAATTTCCTGCTATACAGTACATAACCTGTCTATAAAAAAACTACTGATGACCAAATCTTTATAATGTGTGATTATATTTATTATTAGGCAAAACTTGTGGAGCTGATGTTAAAGCCTATTTCTGACAGGCCATCTTCAAGCGAGATAAAAGAAATTGATGCGTTCAAGCAAATGAAAGACCAAGCCGAGCTAAATTGTGATTTTATGCTGTTAAAATTTTAGATTTAAACAATTATTATTACTGTTATATTAGATTGTTCATAGATCCATATCTCTGGATTGTTATATGAGTTATTATTATTATAGTACATTGTTATGATTATTTTTACATTATTAATTATTATAGTAGATTGTTATGATTATTTTCTATTGTTCTCTGATTACAATTACAATTACATTATATCACCAGTGGAGGCTCATACTAGTCTCTGATCATGATCAAGCTCAAGTTGTACTAATGAACTCTTATGATAAAGTAGAGAAAGAGAGGGTGAGGAGTTGAGGTACACAGACAAGAATTATGATGCTGATACATACATGTAGTACTGCCCTAAATCAATAAATCAGGCCTGATTACTGCCCTGATAAACTATCAGGACTGTATCTGGGCAGTACCACTGTATCAGAATGATAATTCTTGGCTGTGTACATAATAGTCTCTGATCATAGTGATGCATGTAGATAATGGTGAGGAATGAGTTACAGAACAAGAATAACAATACAAATATTATCAGTTCATTTAACAATAATAATAATAATTAACAATAATGATAACAGTAATAATAATAATTTCAAAATGAACTCATAACTAAAAAGTTGTGTTGGTGTTCAATGGTATATACATACGATTGCAGTTTGAGAGCAGCTTCCAGTTTGAAAGAGAGGGAGAAAACTGAATAAGAGAAATAAAACGAAAGAGGATAAATATAGATTGAGTACCTTCATGCACATTCAAGTTTAAATGTTAAGCAAAGCAATCTATTTGTAACAGGACTCTTTGGGTATAAGCAAATGAAATCATACAACTAATGTGCATGCGGACATTCCATAGAGTATACATAAAATACATAAAATACAGTAATAGCACAAACACATTTTGAGAAAGAAAGCTTTACATGTGTATAGTGAAAAGAAGAGGCGTAAGGGAGGGAGGGAGAAATAGGGCTAAAGGAATGAGGACTTAATGAGTAATGTACAATGAACATGCATGTGTGTGTGGTGTATTAAATTTGAATTATTTTACACGTACATTCTTTCACAATGCTAAAGATTAGATAAAGAATGAAATAACTGGATATTCATTTCAGAGAGAACAGTTAACCATAAGCAGGTCCTAACATTGTTTAATTTGATCTGCCATTTTTATGAAACAATCGTACAGTGTTTTCCACATGATTTCAGCATAGTGCTCATGCAGCTTCATGTCAGTGGATTGTTAAGGTGCTCAAAAACTGAGAAAAATTCTCTTATACGTTTACAGGGTACATGTATTACAACAATAAACACAAGAAGAGTTTTCTTCATTTTTATAAATTTTCTGATATAAAAATGTACTTAGAAAATTTTAACAAATTCTGATCAAGTTTGAAATTTTTGAATCATTTTTAAGTTCTTAAAAAAATAGCCTTTGGTCAAATTTTGCTAAAAAAGGCTAGGAAAAAATTTTCTATTTTTATAATTTTTCTAAAAAATGATACAAATTTTTGTCGCATATATAAAAATTTGAAGAGATACCAATCATTTTTGAATTTTAAAATATTGGGCCAACGACCAAAGACTATTATAGCCTTTGGCCAAATTTTGTAAGAAATGGCTAGAAATTTTTCAGATACACTTACACAAACTTATGTTGTGTAGAAGACTACAGCTGATCCAATAAAAATCAGACTTTTTTGAATGTTCAAAATGCAATGTACTGTATTGTAGTAATTGTCAGTTCATAATACTCATGCTGCATGCTTAGCTCACTTAGCATGCTTTGTGGGAAAACCTGCAGTCGGACATGATTAATTATTGGTTATTGACTTATTATGATAAATTTCTTTTAATAATCAATTATAAATTAGAACATCATTTAAAATTATTTTGTTCAGGCAAAACGGTAGAACAATACATAATTTGATTGGCTAATTAAGCAAAATTGTCAGAAAATGTCCGACTCCAATTTCAGGCTTTGACAATTAATAGTCTTATTTTGATATAAGCACAAATGCATGTACATGTACATGTAGGACAACACTTGAAAGGATGGGATCGTGTATGGAGGGAAGGAGAAAGTAAGAAATTTAATGTACATGAAAATAGACAAGTAAAATATACATGTAGAATAAATCATTGGTTTTGTGTTCATTTATATGTACATGTACATGAGTACAAAATTCAATTAGGTTGTCATGACTAAAGATAACATACATGTACATGCACATGTACAATGTAGTGGAGTATCCTTCATGCATAATCTATTGTGCTTGTAGCCTATTACAAAAGTTTTACATTATATTTTGGCTTTTACATAATTTTAGCCTTAAATTTAATACATACATGCACACGGACATGTACATAATGCAAACAGGTGATAAACACTTACCCACATTTTTAATGTACCTTCTTATAATAAAATTTGACCAAAAATAGAACTTCTGAACTTGACTAAGATCAATAGCTACATGTAGAATAATTCAAAAACAGGCAATCAAACTCTCAACAAATCACAGAACACTCATCAACATATCACTCCCAAATATCAACAACAAGACTTAAACTCACAAAATGAGTAAAAAAACATAAATTAATCAATCAGGAATCATATTCTTCATTGACACTGTAAGAGAGAGAGAGAGAGAGGAGAGGATGAACCTGTGAGAGACATACAGTAGGAGGGAGACAAACAAGAGGAAGAATACAGGAAGAGAAACAATAGATTAGTCAGGTCAACCAATTAGAGTTCTATTAAAGTATGTGAGAATAGAGTAAAGTACTAAGGAGCATACCGTTAAATGGTACCATTTTAAATTTGACTCATGATGCGTCTATACAAATCTGTGCTGGGAAACAAAAGAGTGCTGGGTTGGTTTATTTGGTCATGACCTTCCTTCTTTATGAGTGTCTGGCTCTCTTGACTAATTCAACCCCAGCCATAGACTAAGAAGAGACCTTTTGGCTAAATAATTAAAATAGAAGAGACAAGTGGACTAATTATGACTGATGTTGCTAAGAATAACAAACAAAAAATACTACTATATAGCCTAACCATCAAAAGAATGAGCTAAATTGCTGCATTAAAAAAATTATCTTCATTACTTGCAAGCTTCTCCCTAGCACTGCTCTTTAAAAATTTTTAACTGATAATGAAGGCTTGGACTAGCTATGGAGAGTAATTTATAAGCCTAAAGGACTCGTTTTTTTAATTAAAAAAGTTTTTTAAAAGCTCATTATGCAGGACAACCCAGTACTTAATACTCGCCTACACGGCAAGTCCAATAGCTATTTTATATCATATACATGCATGTAACTGACCGATCAGATTGTACCATTAAAGGTGTTTTATATCACTTAAAAACTCCCTGAGATCTCATAGTAAACCCCCGGAGTTCTCATAGTAAACCCCCGGGTTCTCATAGTAAACCCCCTGGGTTCTCATAGTAAACCCCCTGGGTTCTCATAGTAAACCCCCCGGGTTCTTATAGTAAACCCCCCGGGTTCTCATAGTAAACCCCCCAGGTTCTCATAGTAAACCCCTCAGGCTCTCATAGTAAACCTCTGGGTTTCTTATTAAATCCATTGGAATACTCATTGTTTTGATTGATGATTAAATTATTACAAAGCTTTTCATAATTTGCAACTATAATGGTAATTTTAGTTGTTTATTATTATTATTACATTAACAGCAGCACATTCTATCACTTCTCAGTTTATATAAGTGCCCAAGCAACTACAAAATGACCAAATTTAGTCAAAATACGGTCAGTAGTCAGAATATTAACTGTAGTACACACATGAAAATTGAAATCTGAATAAAAATGAATTCTAGTCTGGATCCGCAGTCCTGATATCAGTCTGAATCATGGATCTTTGGCACTCAGTCACAATACAATCATGAATCAGGCATGACACAATTATGATATATAGACTAGCACTATACTTAGTCTATAGTTTAGGCCAGAGCAACAGTCATGACCAGCAATGCCTGTCAAGATTGTACCAATACTGATGTCAGACTTGATTCATTCATTGCTGATTCAGGCAAAAAAACTCTTGGGTATGTAGAGAAGTGGTACCAATAACTATATATGTACTGATACTCTTAACAACTAGTCGCTGGATAAATGAACTACTTGTCTGTAACGTCATTTATAATAATAATAATTATATAATTATAAGATGATTGATGTCTCTCAATGGAGAGCAAGTATTGGACTGTGGCACTACTGTCAAGCTGCCTCTAGTAGACCAGCTAATGGCTGCCACTCTCACTCATTCAAAGCTGCAGTAGACAGCAAGTCAGGCAGTACTACATCAGGAGAGAAGACATTTAAACTGCCAGCAGTTTTGCCTTTTATTGCTTTCCTCCTCCTCTTTCTCTCTCTCTTTTTATTAAGACACATCCTGATGATTCCTCCAACAGGTAAACAACAATTGCAACTTTGTACTTGTATATTTACTGGTATTTTATGATTAGGTAACTACTACCAAGTACAATGTACTACTGGTGCTACTGTTACTTATACAAATTACCTCCAGTCAGTAGTCTTACCTGGAGGGAGCAGTTCTAACCTGATTTACAATGATCTCTATTTGATTGTTTGCGTACGTATGCTCCTCCTCTTATCAGGAGATATTGAACTCAATCCTGGTCCTATAAGTACAAAATTTAATTTTTATAATAATTATTATATTGAATCTATAATAGGAAAAATACTTAAAATTTGTAAATGGCCTTGCACTACAATAATCAAGTTTTTACAATGTGCCTTGGTACAAATTAAGAACATACTTGATCCAAAACAACATAAAAATGTTCCTTTGCAAAAAGATTCACACAGAACTACAAGTCAACCTGAAGACACTATCATCAATATTGATACTCTAGTACAAGACACAAGTATAGTAATATGTGTATTGCCGTATAGTCAGTATAAGTATTCTGCTTAGGTAATATTGAAACCACACATCAATGTAGTGTATCAAGTGAACTATTACCCACACATATTTCATTAGGTGAGCATATAATTCAAAAAACTAATTGTAGGCCTATTGTACATGTAGATCATATGACAGAACCTAATGATTGTAATGAAGGAACTGATGGAAATGTAGGAAAAAATAAT